GGGAAAGAGCTCTAATGAGGTCCCTCGGGATGTTCTCTCTGACCTTATTCTTTTCAGCATTTTATTGATGATTAGAATGGAGATGAATGTTTATTAAATTTTCAGGGAACTCAAAGTTTAAAGGAGCTAGTCAATACTATAGGCAATACAATGCAAATTCAAAATACTTTTCACTGGCCAGAAAACTAGATTGAAATAAATAAAATGAAGGCAGCTTGAGATAAATAGGAACACTTAGTTTCAAAAATTAATTACATAAGTATTGGATATTGGAAACTTTCCTGGAGCTTTTAGTTGTTAGAATTGTAGTTCTTAGATTTAGGGGTTGATAATCCTATTGTACTCTGCAGTAGTTCCTCCGTATGTTTGGGGAGACTCTTAAAAAGACTCTGGATTCCCCTTGATACCACCATGTAATAACTTAGCAAGAACCTTATGTAGCTAACAGGTTTTTGACTATTATTTCTAAATAAGGTACACAAAGTTCTAAGTGTTCTTAATTACAAACAAGATACAAACATACACACACATATCTGTATACACATACATAAACACACACATACATATATACTATACACACTTATATACACTTATGCATACATATAGATAGATGATAGATGATAGGTAGATAGATAGATTGACAGTTTCTGTCTGTCAATAGGTATAGATAGATGAACTATACAGTTTCTGAGTAAGTTTGTTTAATTTTTTCTTGTTGTTGCTCAATAATTTTATGTCTAAAAGTTTTTGGTGAATAGTAGTCCCTCTGTACATTTCACTTGCTTACTGTTTTGATATATATATTTGTTTTCTACATGTAGATTAGAGACAAATCTTTTAACTTACATAAAGTTGAAAAAAAGGTTAAAAAAAAAAAAAAAAGGTTGTTATTAGAAGTTACTATGGGCCCTAAATGTATACTCTAAATAAGTCTTTAAAAGTAACTGAAGCATTCTTTTCATCTCTCTACCTAATACCACTATCACCTCAAGAGAGTTGCCCAGTGTTTCTTTAAG